TATTCCAAGCCCTCTGATTCTTTAATGTAGAAACTGAAAAATCTTATGTTACACTGACTATGGCTCTGTGATATTTGAATTGCTTATTTTTGGCTGCTTGCAATATTTTCTCTGTGGTCTAGGAACTCTGGAATTTGGCTATAATATTCTAGGAGTTTTAATTTCAGAATCTTATGAGGGGATCAATGGATTCTTTCAATTTCTATTTTACCCTCTGGCTCTAGAATATTGGCAGTTTTCCTCAATAATTTCTTGAAAAATGATTTCAAGGCTATTTTTTAATCATGGCTTTCAAGTAGTCCAATAATTCTTAAATGATGACTCCTGGATCTTTTTGCAGGTTAGTTGTTTTTTTCCAGTGATATATTTTACATTTTCTTCTATATTTTAATTCTTTTAATTTTGTTTCATTGATTCTCGATATCTCATGGAGTCATTAGCTTCCACTGGACCAATTGTACCTCCTTTTCATTTAGACTATTCTCCTTTTAACAAAATTGTTTTCTTTACTGGATTTTCCTACATCTTTTATTTTTCCATTTTTTTGTGCTTCCTTTACCAAGCTGTTGATTCTTTTTTCATGATTGTTAAGCAACATTCTCATTTCTTTTCCCAATTTTTCTTCTATCTCTCTTGTTTGTTTTTTTGAGCTATCCCAGGATTTCTTGGTTTTTTTGTCCTGAGACCAATTCACATTTTTCTTCAATGCTTCACATGTAAGTGTTTTGACATTTTTATCTTCTTGAGTTTGTTTTGATCTTTTCCTGTCACCATTCTAACTTTATGTAGTCAGTTTTTTTTTTGTTTGTTGTTTTGACTTTGTTTGTTTGTTTGTTTTGCTCATTTTCCCAGCCTATTTCATGTCTTTTAAAGTTGAGCTCTACTCCTGGGTTACAGGCAACAATGTCCCAGGCTCCATTTTCCAGGGGTCCTGGACTTGGCTGCTGCCCTGCTGCACTGGGTTCTCAGTGCCTTGCAGTTGGTCTGCTGTGCCACTAGCCTGTTGTGCCAGAGACTTCAGGTCTCACAGCCAGACTTCTATGCCACTTGTCTGCTGTGTTAGGGCTGCCTAAGGGCTTAGGGACTCCTGCTGGTTTGCTGGGGTGTGTGCTCACTGGACAGTGCTCTCTTTTTACCCGAGTGAGACAGATATTCCCTACCAACCTTTTAAGTTATCTTAAGCTGGAAAACTGTTTCAATATCTTTTTGTTTTTTTCTGTTGCTTAAGAATTCAATTTGAGCATTATTTTAGTCATTTAGAGGTCAATTTGGAAGAGTTCTGGTGAGTTCCTGTCTTATTCTGCCATCTTGGCTCTGTCATCCCCATTCCCCTCATTTAAGCAAAGTCACCAAAGGTGAAGAAGTTAGTTGGAGAGACTATGTCTATATTCCCGGAGGAAAAGTTCTTCCAGGGAGTGGAGAGAAACATTTTCCATACTGTCAATAAGTAAAATATCAATGTTTCTGCTAACAAAGATAAAAAAGTAGGTAGGTAACAAGCATAGTCCTAAAGGAGTAGGCCTGTTCCTTTTGCACGAAATTTGTTTACAAGAAAAATGGGAGAAAAACTGAAGGTGTTGGAAAATGAAATCCTCATTCTTGGAATGTACAAAAATAAACTATGAATTTTTTTTTCTATTTAGTTTGGGAGAAACATAAATCAGATTTTAAAAATTCTTGCTTTTTAACAGTCCTCAATGGAAAAGCAGTTTTCCCATAAATGAGAGTTTTTAAAATATATATGAATGATTATAATAATAAGTTCAGATGTTATTCCTTATTAAAAAAATAATTAATGAAAGAAAAGAAAGTGTCAATTTCCGTCATCATAAGGAAAAAGCAGATTATAGAGAAAGCTCTCACAAGCAAAGCAAGAAAGAAATCATATCCAAACTGACAGGAAATGGTTGACAATGATTTATGGATATTATTTCATCTCAGGGTTCCATAAAACAGTTTAAAGCATCCCCCCTTTTTTGTAGGAATGCTTCATGTCTATAGGGAGGAGATCTCATTGGGCTGCATTAAACTTTTATAACAATACAAAGTAAGTATATCATATTTACTTAAAGAAAAAAGACAGAAATATGTTTGTATCAATTGTTTGGACAGGAAGATATATTTTAGGCAAGAGAGATTCCTAACATTTCATGTCAGAAATGGTCAGTTTTGCAGTTCTTAGGTAAATATTTTCCATTCTTATGTGTTTATATTAAACCTCATATCCATTTGCCTACTCTATGAATATAAAATATCTTGTAAAGAGAAACTAAGTATTTGCTATAAGTTAATGGAAAGGAAGAGAAAAAAAAAGATATGCTTGCATAAGTAAGTACAAATACCATTTTATTTTGATTTTAAATGAATAATATATTTTAAAATACTGTGAATAAATTTCTATGGAATATTATATTTTACAGAGGTTTTTTTTTTCTTTTCTCCTCACTGATCACCTGTAAGCAGCTGGTGCATAGAGTATAGAGGAATAGCATAGAAGTTATAATACTCTAAATAACCTTCAACATATACTGACTATATGACCCTGGACAAGTCATTGTCTCAGTTTTGGAGTTTCTCTGTCCCAATTAATTCTCTAAGACTATAAATTAAATTTGAGTTGCTGAGAAGCCATGTTCCATAAAGAGAAGGGAAATGGACTTGCACTAAAGAAGAACTGGTTCAAATCCTGCTGTATGAACTGTATACATGAACTGGCTATATAACACTGGGCAAATCATTTAAATTCTAGGTGCCTTAGTGTCTTCTGTAAAACTAGGGAATTGAACTTTATGGTCTCCTTTCTAGCTCAGTATGTATAATGCTATTACATACACTGGTGAGGGTGGTTCCCATAGTAGAAGATTCTTACACTGATAAAGTCATAAAACTGCATCTTACAAACTTTGAAGCAAGTAATGATGAGAGGTTTGTTCTGTTTTTATTTTTAATCAGTTTTTTTAATGAGTTAAATAAAATTTATAAGATCTATTAAGTGTAACTCATGACCTTAACCCTCCAAATTCTAGAAAATACAGACAAGGGCTGATCCAGAAGTTCTATCATTCTTTGGTTCCTTATTGCTGCCAATAGAATTTATTGTAGGAAATCTCAAAAGAAAGTCTGCACATAACTTTATGGGAATAAATTATAACAACTTTTTACTTACTCCATGCAAATTGTAGACAATACAAAAGATGAAGGAGCCCATAAAGAAACATAGAAAGCACAGAAAGGCTATGTCAGGAGCCCATTCACAACCAATACAATGTTCCTTCTCTGGATAATACTTTTTTCCACAAATACTAGAATCTTGTAAACTGAAAAGTATCCTTTGAGGTGGCCAATAGGTCAACTTCCTGACATTCTAGTGAATACCTCTCCTCAACCAAGTTCTACAGAGTCTTACATCCAAATTTGTAGAGCCTCTCTGTGGAACTATTTCTTAATGGGAAACACATTTGGGAGCTGCTAGACAAGTGATTACCTTTACATCACAAGGTACCCAAAATCTAGCTTCCATTCCAAAAGGAAAAGCACTGTAACAAATTTCAAGATATACTTGTTAAGCTCTCTTTTAGAGCATTTCTCATTAACCATATCATGTTATGGCACATTTTGAGTAGGCTAGATCTGATTTTTAAAAATCTAGTGTTTATCCTGGATCAGCAGTCCTAACTGACATCCTTTTAATGTAAGAGGTCCAGCTTCAATTATAAATTAAGAAAACATGGACAAACTGCATCATTCCATTTTATTTAAAGCCAAGTAACTCAACAATGCTCAAGATGTGCTAAATCCTCCCAAGGGGGATTTAAGAGTTCACTTTCTAGTAAAATGTTATTTTTTGAAAAATTAGCAATCCAATATAAGTCACCTTCCATAAGCAAAATATCTAAAAATTTCTTAATTAGCTTTTCAATATTGTATCCACCTTTTTAAGGACAAAATATTTATTAATAATAGAAAACCAGTAAGCATTTATTAGGCATTTTCTCTGAGCAGGGCACTGTGCTAAGTTCCAGAAACACAAAGAAAGGCAATAGATCATCCTCACTCTCAGGGAGCTCCCAGTCTAAGGGGAGAGGCTACATGAAAACCACTACATAAAACAATCCACATACAGGAAAAAAAAGGGCATATATCAATAAACATAATGCACAATGATTAAGGGGAATCAAGGAAGACTTCTTGTAGAAAATGGATTTTAGCTGAGATTTAAAGAAAGCCAGGAAGCAAAAATGAGAAGGGAGAGTATTCCAGGGATGGAGAACAGACAGAGAAAATGTTCAGAGCGTAATTAAGGAACCTAAATAACCTCAGATACAGGTAACTAAATTTAATACTAATATAAAAGTCAGCAATTTGGTTGATTTCATACTTATTCTATAAATTATACTTGGATGGTATTTTTTGTTATTTTATATCAGCAGATGGTTTTTTGAAGTAGGCAGATGTAAATATTTCATATAAAACTGTTGATAAAAAAGGCAGAAAAAGTATTTTTATTTAAATAAAGTTAAATCAGTTGGTAAATATGTAAGGCATTGTTTCTTTAAAAATATTGATAAAATTTTACCATTTTGATTTAAATTTAAATTTAAAATTTTGTCATTATGATTTTAAAAGATTGATACCTAAAAACAATTTTTAAAAAACTAGTTTAATAAAAAAAATTGCTAAAATATTTGTGCAAAAAAAACAATTTTAAGATAATTTTTAAATGATTTAGGGCAGAATATGAAGTGTGTTATAAATACAAATGCTTAAATTACATTTTAAAGGGTGTAGGGTGTGAGCTCAATTGTATGTGCATAGAGGGATGATTTTAAAATATAGTGCAAGACTTTTTTATTTATGAAAAATGATACCATGGGAGAGAGCTAGGTGGTACAGTGAATAGAGCTCCAGCATCAGAGCCAAGAGGACCTGAGTTCAAATCCAGCCTCAGACAGTGACATATACTAGCTGTGTGACCCTGGGAAAGTCACTTAACTCAAATTACTTCACCCCAAAAAGAAAAAGAAAAAATAGGGGAAAAATTACACTATGGAAATACAATGAAACTCAAATTCAAGGACGTAGAATGACATGGAGGTTCATTTTGAGAATTTAGAAATCCAAGACTTTATGGTTGACTAAGGAATTTATATGTAACTATTTTAAAAGCAGAGGGCAAAACTAATATAATTTATTTTCATATAACTTTTTAGAGACTGAAGGATAATCAAATAAGGACTGTCAATTTCATAAAGAAAATGTGGTTAGGTTTTGTCTCATAAATGAAAGGTAAATCACTGAGTTACTCAGAAAGTAAATGACTGAGGCCTTGTTTTAAGTCATTGAAATAGAATGAGATAGAACCCAAGGCTTGGGCCAAAGAGATTAAAGAACTATAGCAAAGGAAAATTCATCAGTGAGACAAAAAATGTCTTCCTCAGAACTATCTGAAGAAACCAAAAGCAGAGACAATCAACTCACAATAGGGTTTTATTTTCCAGTTTCTGATTGGCTGGAGGTCAAGCTATTGTCTTTCAGTCCCATTTCTACCGAGACTTGCATCCCATCACTTAAGAAAGGTGCAGACTTTCAGAAGTGCCTGTTCTTCATTGCTGTCCTTTTTGATTTGAGAGGGGAAAGCAAAAAAAGGAAAGACAGACTTTCCAGCTGCTGTTCTGTATAGGAAGAGATGTTGAAATGTAATTGGATGCCACAGAATCTTGGGGAGTGAAGAAATGGTTAAGCTGGTTTGTTTTGACCAAAGAATCAACTTAAGCTCTTTTGCTGTGAGCTCTTTTCTGATTAGATGATCTTGTTTCCTGGTGAGTGAACAGCTGGATGGACTGGTTTGCATTGCTTAGAAAGAGCTAATGTGATGAGCTTTGTAGTCTTCTTTCCTAAAGGGAACTGTGAGTCAATTCAATAATGTAACACTTTTCCATGCTATTTTAAAGGTGACTGTAAGCTGATAGAGCTCATAGATGCTATATTAGTGTGAGAATAGAAGAGAAGAAGATTTATCCAGCTGGAAAATGAGGAGAGCATACAGACAAGCAATAAGATTAGTGGATTAATGTGGTACATATGTTTTTAAATGGACCAGTGACATTCAAGTCTGCAGTAGAGAGTTGTGAGTTACCCTGAGCATATGGTTTTTCTTCCTTCATGTATTTCCCTGCAAAATTTATATAAATGTGTGCCCTCTTTTCCCTACAGGTAATATCCCTACAGATATTAATTATGTCATCTCTCATTAGCAATGATACTCATTAGAGCATGACAGAGGTTTAAATGTAGGTTGTCCTTCATTTATTACTCCTGCATTTTTAATATGAATACCTATTATTTCTTATTTTGTCTTAGTTTTAAATAATTATATTTCAGATCTAAAAATGTCATTATTGTGAGTGGATGGTTTGAATAAATGGAAAAGCACCAGGAGGGACTCAGGCATAAAGTGGTGAATAGTGAGAGTATATTTCCCCTTCAATAGACTCATCCTTAGAAATATGAGAGAATATGAAGTGTAAAGAAATAGTAGTCTCAGGAATCATAGACCTCCCAGAGAAAAAGGACTGATAGTTGGACTTTGACTCTCACAAATGGGTAAAATCATGACTGATTGGCCTCTCATGCCCTCAGGTGAGAATGTTAATGAGGTGACTATGATTACGGTTGGAATTGCAGCAAGCAGCCCTGAACCTGGGAAGGAAAAGAAGCATAGTGGCAATATTAGCCTGCAGGCCAGCAAAATTTATCCCATATTCTTTTGAGTAGAAAGAGGGGGAGGGAGAGGGGGAGAGGAAGAGGAAGAGGAGAAGGAGGAGATGATGATAATGATGATGATAATGATAACAATGATGATGATGAAGAATGAGAACAGGAAATGAATGAGAAGGAAGTGAAGGAGGAGAAAGAGGAGAAGAACAAGAAGGAAAAGAGAGGAAGGAAGAAGAGAGAAAGAGAAAGAAAAAATAATTCTCGGTTTGACAAAAATGACATTACCCAGAATTTCCTTCTTATTATCAACTTGTAGCCCAAGTTCCTCTCCCTACAGTATCTTACAAAATTGCTTATTCCCTTTTAGCCTACTTCTGACTCTTAGCCAGACAGAAACCTCCAGGTCCTGTGCAATCAGGACAATATTGACTTCTATTATATTTCTATTAAAAATGGCCTCCTTTCCCTGTTAGTGGTTTAGCTCACTATACTATTTTAAAATATTCAGACCCAATTTGAAATGCAATAGAAATAAAGTACAAAAATATATTAAAATGTAAGTCCGGAAATTGAAACTATAGTTACAAAATATTCAACTAATGCTAATCAAGCCTAAAACATAATTAACAAAGAAAATTAAAGACCACCAACAAATTAGATAGAAATTTATATGCTACATTTTGGATTTCAATGTGATGAGTAGTAGGATCAATAAATCAATAAGTTGTACATGAGCAGAGGGAGGGAGGAAAATAAAAGTATCCTAAGAGTTTTCAAAATGTAAGAAGAATGTAAAATTAGAAGCATTTTTTGTACATGTGTGTGTGTTGTTTTTGTTTTTGTTTTTGTTTTTTGCTTTTTGGTGAGGCAATTGGGGTTAAGTGACTTGCCCAGGGTCACACAGCTAGTAAGTGTTAAGTGTTTGAGGCTGAATTTGAACTCAGATCCTCCTGACTCCGAGGCCAGAGCTCTCTTCACTCTGCCACCTAGCTGCCCCTTAGAAGCATTTTTTAATCAGATCAAACTGAAGTTTTTTTTTCTTTCCTAATTAAAAGCAATTTGAGGAAAGAATTCCATATTCAACAAAGTCTTCAAATCAAGTCAGAGTTTTTCATGGCAGAATACTATATGAAGAGCCAGGACAATCGAATTATTTCCTGAAGGAATAGTAAAATATCCCACTTTACCTGTCACACATAATTAATCCAGTTATTAGCCTCTGTGCACTTCAAGGATTCTATTATTCTTGGTCCCTTCTACTGGAACACATTTTGTTAAGTGAAGGAAACACTGAATTCAGGGCAAACTATAGTAAGAAAGAGATCAAAAGTGTTCCCTAATGCCTTCTATGTTAGATCTCAGTTCTGCTGGGTTGGAAGTCAGGCCATTACAGTTCTATCTCCTGCTTCATTGCTAATTAGTTTGTGACCTTGGACAAATCACTGTTCTTTCATCTGGGAAATGAGTAGGTGGAAACTATGATCTCAAAAGTCCTTTCCTCATCTTATATTCTGATTCTTTTAGCTTTAAGTCTCTCCTCTTTGTTCCACCTTTCACAGCATATTCACTTATTGATGCTTTTCCCATAACTGTTATTCATTGTTGCCATGCTAAGATTTTTGGCTGCTTCTATCTCCTGGATTTCTGTCTTTCTACTGCCCATTCCCCATACATAGCATGCCCGACTCCTCATAGTCATTTCTTGAAACTGCTAACTTCATTCAAGTCTCAATTTGAATTCTTAAAGGAGGCCTTTCTTTAATATTCCTGTTAATGCACTCTCCACAAGTCATTCTGTATTTACTTTCTATATATTTTTGTATATATGTCTATATACACACAATGTCTTAGATAATATATGTCAACACAACTATATATTAGTATAATTGTGTATTAATGTATATTATAACATATATTACACATATAATTCTGTATTATACATGCTAGCAACAATTTATTGATAATACCTTATAAAAAATCGTCTATTCATTTTTTTCTTTTCATCTTAAAGCTAAAACCCAGCATATAGTAAAGAAGATCAAATATTTCAATAAACTTAGATGTACATATATTTTTTTCCTTGCTATCATTACAAAATATCTCTCTTACTCTCTTCTTTCCCCTAGTTTTCATCAGTAAACAAATGTAAATGAGTGGTCAGGTTTAAATACACTCTTCTACAAAAATTGTTGGCAAATCTAGAAAATAGAAACTAGTTCTAGACCAATATATTAAGATCAGTTTACAAATAGACATGACTTAGCCATAATGGTTGACATCATAAATAAACTGGAGAAGCAGGAAAGAAATCACTTCTCAGATCTATGGATAGGGGAAGAGTGTATGACCAAACAAAAGAAAAAGAGGATCATATGAAGTAAATTGGACAATTTTGATTATATAATACTTTAAAAAAGACTTTTGCACAAAGAAAATTAATGTCACTAAAACTAAATGAGAAACAGGTAAGTGGGATTTGTGTCAAATGTCTCTGATAAAGGATAAATTCTAAGATATATATAGGGAACATACTGAAATGTACAAGAATAAGAGCAATTCCCCAACGGATAAATGGTCAAAGGATAGGAACAGGAAATTTACAAAGGAATACATTCAATCTACCAATATTCAGATTTTTTAAATCTTCTAAATCAGTAATAGAGAAATGTAAATCAAAACAATTTTAACATTCTACCTCACATTTATCAAACTGACAAAAACATCAGATTGACAAGAAAAGGAAAACAACTAACAAAATGATGAAGGGGATGGTTTCAGAGAAACCAGGGAAGACAGGTATAGACTACCGCAGAGTGAATAGCTCAAGATCAATTTAATACAATAACAATAACATTGTAAAGACGAAGAAATTTCAAAGATTTAGGAACTCTGACTAACACAATGTCCAACCATGATTCATGAGGATTCATGGTGACATGCTACACAATTCCTAATAGACAAGTGATAGACTCAGATAGCTGATTGAGACATATGTATGTATGTGTGTGTGTGTGTGTGTGTGTGTGTGTGTGTGTGTGTGTGTGTATTTCAAGGGATATAGCCAAAAAAGGAACTTGGTTTGCTTGACTATATATGTATATAAAAGGGGAACTGTTATTCTTGTTTCCCCAATATAGGGAGAGGAGATGTAGGAAAGAAAGAAGGTAGACCTTCCTTTGAAAAGAAATTTTAATTTTTAAAAATTGTCAGCTTTAGCTTAGTGTGCTACTTTATGTCCTAAACTTTTGGCATTTAGGTTCTTTTCTCATTTTTTCCCATTACAATGTGTAGTTAAACCCTACTTTGATACTTCAATGAAGTTGTACATTCTTAATGTGGGCCCTCCCTCCACTAATGCAAACTAACACTCATCCACACCATCCCATCCCATGATATTCTTTTCCATGGCATTCATAGAGTATCTACTCAATAAACATGGTGTGTTTCACAGTGCCTTTTAATGTTATAACATCTGTGTTGTGCAAATGGCATCCCTCACTTTTTATACATCAGGTCTAGCACCAATTTTGACATTTTCTGGATTACATATTTTATGCTCTCTGTACACTAATCCTCGTTGCCAATTCTCTGAAGCCAAATCACACTCACAATGCATTTTTCCATTGTCCTTTAACAGTGTCACACAATTTCTCAAATGAGATTCAGCCCAATACAAACCTCCTTTCAAATTTTGAACTTAATTGGAATTTCAGCTTGATTTCCTTTCCCTTGTGAAATATAATGCTACTTTACCTTTTCTGACATCTTATCACTGTGGAATAATCTTTAGTCACTACATTACTTTTCTTTCATATATAAAGGCATTTTTTTCTTGGCTTCTTAAAACAAAACATCATTTTCTATAGAATTTATTAAATCTAACCAGTGTGTATCTTGGAGTTTGAAATGCAATGTGTGTGTTTGTGTGTGTCTCTCTCTGTGTGCTGTTGATCTTTTTCTAGCAGTAATTTATGAATTCTCTTTATTTTTTTATTTTTACTTTTTTATTAACATATTCTGGATACCTTTATTGTATTATACTTTGTATTATTGTATTTAGTGTTTTTTGTCATGTTCTTCTGGATCATTTATGAGCCTTAGATTATTTTTATACACACTTTTTAAAAGATTTGTCACTTTTTTATACGTAGGGTTCATCTCTCTTTTCATGTTTGAT